AAAGAAAGAAAGTTTTGTGGCATTAAGTACATTCACACTGATATGTAACCATTCATCCCCAGAACGTCTTCATCTTCCGTAATGAAACCATACAAGTCTTATTTTAAAGACTATATTAAATAAGGAAAGATGATAAAGTTCTAATAAATAGATGTGTTTAATGATCATCTCCACTATTTTTATTTTAGAAATAAACTAGATAAGGCTGGGGTACAGTGGCTTATGCCATAATCTTAGCACTTTGGGAGGCCAAGGCAGGAGGATTGTGTGAGGGCAGGAATCTGAGACCAGTTTGGGAGACAGCAAGACCTATGCCTATAAAACTTAGCCAGGCATCGTGCAACATAACCTGTAGCAGCTCCTGGGGAGACTGGAGCAGAAGGATTTCTCAAGCCCAGTAGTTTGAGGTTATAGTGAACTATGATAACACCACTACACTCTAGCCCAGACAAGAGAGTAAGACCTTATCTCAAAAACAGAGAAAAAAGAAATAAAGAGAAACTAGATATTGTACCTACAACGAACACTATTCTGGTGATGGGCACACACACCAAAAGCACTGATTTAAGCATTATACAAGACATTCATGTAACAAAAACACTTGTATCCCCCTAATTATTATTTTGGAAAAAAGGATATAAGGATCAACTACCTAGAGTAGTCAAATTCATAGACAGGAAGTGAATGGTGGTTACCAGGGACTGGAGGAAGGAAGAAATAAGGAGTGACTGCTTAACAGGCACAGACTTTCTGCTCAGAAAGATGACACATTTCTGGAGGTGGATGGTGTTGATGGTTACACAACAACGTGAATGTTCTCAATGCCACAAAACCGTACACTTAAAAATGTTTTAAAATGGCAAATTTTGTTATGGATGTTTATGACACACAGAAAAGGAGAGGAAGCTCACACCTGTAATCCTAGCGACTAAGAAGGCTGAAATAGGAGGGTCCCTTGAGCCCAAGAGTTTGGGACCATCATGGGCAACATGGCTAGACCCCATTTCTTAAAAAAATACAAAAAACAAAAAACAGGGCGGCGCCTCTGGCTCAGTGGATAGGGCGCCAGCCCCACATATGGAGGGTGGCAGGTTCGAACCGGGCCCCAGCCAAACTGCAACAAAAAATAGCCATGTGTAGGTGGACTCCTGTATTCCCAGCTACTCGAGAGGCTAAGGCAAGAGAACTGCCTAAGCCCAGGAGTTGGAGGTTGCTATGAGCTGTGATGCCACGGCATTCTACTGAGGGCAACAAAGTACGACTCTGCCTCAAAAAAAAAAAAAAAAACACAAAAGAAAGGAAAGCAAAAAAAAAACCCAGCATGGTGGTATGTGCCTGTAGACCCAGTTACTCGGGAGGCTGAGGTGGGAAGGAGAATCACTTTAGCCCAGGAGTTCAACGTTTCAGTGAGCTATGACTATACCACTGTAGTCCAGCCTGGGTCACAAAGTGAGACCCCATCTCTTTTAAAAAAAGGAAAAAAAAGGAGATAAGTTAAAATTTAAATTTATATTCAATGGTTAGAAGTGACATGGATTATGCTAAGAGTCAGAATTTCAGCCTGGCTAAGACATTTTAAAATCCTGGGGTCATTTTATTTTATTTATTTATTTTTTAGAGACAGAGTCTCACTATTTTGCACTCAGTAGAGTGCTGTGGCATCACAGCTCACAACAACCTCTAACTCTTGGGCTCACAAGTTCAAGACCAGCCAGAGCAAGAGGGGACCCCCCCCACCCCCTATCTCTAAGAGTAGCTGGCCGTTGCGGTGGGTGCCTGTACTCTCAGCTACTTGGGAGCCTCAGGCAAGAGAATTGCTTGAGCCCATGACTTGGAGGTTGCTGTGAGCTAGGACACCAGAGCACTCTACTGAGGGTGACAAAGTAATACTCTGTCTCGAAAAAAGAAAAAAAAAAAAGAATAATGTATTTTCTACTTATTACTACTGGGTGTGACAATCTAGAACTTCTCACTAGTTAGATTTATGTTTGATTTCAAATGAAACAGATTATTTCTCTAACAGCTAGATCATTAGATCTATTTAATACTTTAATTATTTAGCCATCATGTGCAGCAAATTACCATGTTTATAAAAGAATGGCCAGTGAATGGGTTAATAAATACTGACATCAAGAAAACAGAGGCTTAAACATAACCTTGTAACATCTGGCAACCTGGCATGAGTTACTGGTTGACTCACCACAGCTTGTTCAAACAGTTCTCTCAGCTTCTGCTCAGACTCTCCAGATACTCCAGACACAATCTCTGGAGCGGCCACTTTTAGAATTGGCAGGTCAAGTTCCTAGGCACAAACATAAGAAGACCCAAATATTCAAATTTTAAGTTCTTTACTCTTTCTTTATCTAGTCCTCTCAAATTACATGTTTTAAATAGCTATTTTCCTGAGAAACTTTATCTATTTGTGTTGGCCCAATGAAAAACACTGCTTAAAAACCTATGGCTTTATGCAAACACATTAAGTAGATACCTATTACTTCTTTATGTTATAGCTATCACCATAAAACTGTTATTTCTTTTGAATAAAGGGCCGTGACTCTCAGGAGACATGTTTCCCCCTACTTAGGGCTAAGTCAAAACAATTCTGTTATTCATTTGCCGAACAGGAAATTGCAAGGGGTTATAAGAAATATGTTCCCATAAACCCTGCTTAACATTTCTCCATCTCCTAACCCAGAGAGTATCCTGTTGCTAATCAGAGAAGTGCTCAGCTCTTTAAAAATGAAGAGAGGGCGGCACCTGTACTCAGTGGGTAGGGCGTAGGCCACATACACCCAGGCGGGTGGTTTAAACCCGGCCTGGGCCAGCTAAGAAAGGCAACTGAACCGAAAAAAAAAAAAAAAAAATAGCCAGGCATTGTGGCAGGTACCTGTAGTCCCAGCTACTTGGG